CATTATTTTAAACAAGTCACATTGATCCATTTTTTCAATGAAATATGGATTTGGAAGCATACGTGTGAGAATGTCTTGCCCTGTACGGAAAATACAACTACCACGCTCATGCCTCTATGTCTAATAATAAGTCGTTTTTTATCTGCAGAGCATTGTGGTGGATACATTTAATTTATAACACTGATAAGTAGGCACATTTCTAAACTATTTAGAAGCTAAAGAAGTAGAATAAGCAACGTTTACCGATGTGGGCAAATCCTATGGGAATGAATCTGCAGTGGCGAAGCGTCCATGTAATCATTCTTACCACTGGTAACAGTTAAAAATCTTAAAAATAAATATTTTATGACTAAGTACTGTGAAATAATTCCAATTATTTGTTTACCTACAGCGATATGTAAGAGTAATTCGGTAAATAGCAAATTAGCCCCACGAAAACAATGCGCCCTATAGTGCCTAGGTTTTGCGAACACGATGAAGCTGACTCGCCTCGACTTGGTTGTCGGTTGTTACCATTTTCAATTATGGATACATTTGGTAGTCCGTCGGGGACCGTCGGTACCGGCTCGTGTCTGATCGCGGTCGCCCGAGTGCGTGGGGCGCTGCGACATTATGTGGGCTTGTTACCATTTTTTGATTTGGTTACTCACTTCTGACTCGTTAGAAGCCGTTTTGGTTACCGGTTGTAGTGTGCGTGCAATTAAACATCGATGAGTGTTGCTGTGTAATCGATCAACTACTTGAAAAGTCATTCTCCTTGTATAATTTTTAAGAAAAAAAGGAGATCATTGAAAATGGAAGACTAACACCTATTTTAGATAATTTTAAAAATGAATAAAAAAACGTGGTTTGATATTTTAAATTAAGTTAGTATATGGAAACTCTTGTTTATGTAGTTACAAAAAAACAGATTGTGTTGTTGTTGTTGCGATGTCTTCTGTTTTATACAGAAAAAAATGGGTGGACCAGCATCGGACTCAACGATTTAAATAGTTTTAGGGCTCTAAAGAGAAGACATGAAATTTCTCTGTTACATGTGAGATATGTAGCCAATTTAATTGAGTTCGGCAAAACAAGAATCGAAAGTGGTCTTAACCAAGCTTTCAGGCAGCACACTTCTAGATACCGTCTGTTTTTTGGCAAAACAGGAATTACCGTTCGTTTTGAAGGGGATGACTCTGAAATTAGAGGAAATTACAGGGAATTGTTAACATTCATTGCCAAAAATCTAGAATCGTCGACTGTTTTTTTTGACGGCTTGGATTAGTCAAAGCATAAGACAAGGAGGTATATCAAGTGCCCCAGACGCTCAGTCCAGGAATGTTTACCTTAATTTAAAAATAGTTTAAATTAAATACCTAAAATAAGCAAAAACTTATATTTGGGAGGTTCAAAATAAACTTTTTTTAATAAGATTGTTCACATCTGGTTTTGGTAACAGCTTAGGAAAAGTCACGCGTCGCCACTGGAATGATGCCATTTTTTTAGAAATCCTTATTCCGTATAAACAAGTTGACTTGCATATGCAACCATCACATTTAATTGATCAAGTGGAATGTCAAAAAATATCTGACACAGGTCATCAAAATAAATTGGTCAACTGTCTTCAGCCGACCATGTTCAGAAATGCGTTACCATAACATGTTTATTGTTAGACAAGTATAACAAATAAGTAATTGAACATATTTTTCACTTTATTGAGCAAATAATGTACTATCATCGCATTTGATCATCACCTAATTGTATGCAAAGGAATGCAATGTGGTTCTGAACCGAGTAAGACCTGAAGCTGCTTTAGGGTTACTACCATAAGAAACATTCAAATACTAGAAAAATTATGTTACTGGGGTGAATGTGGTTCATTCTGGAATTCTAACTTTCAATGACAAGTCCAAGTACAAGAATTTCGAGTGGTCTTTTGCGACACTTATCGTGTCATGATAGCACGCTATCCTCAGAAAATTTAGTATCAGCAAAACATCGTGGCGCTCTTTGTAGCAGCACAGCTCTACAAAGAATGGATCAACTGAAGCAGTTCGGCGAGAAGTTAATTTCTGGTTGTGGGCAGATGAATTTGCCACCTAGATCGTGCAATCCCACGCCTCTACCTCTAGGTTTTTTCCTTTAGGGATATGCTATTTTTGCATATATGAGAGAGCACGATGTAGGAATTAGAAATCGCAAATATCACTTGACATGGAAATGTCCAAGTGTCGTCGATGTTTAATGATGTTCCAGCAAAATGTGAAATTCATGTTCAGAACATATATTTCGTTCTTCGAACATCCAGTGACACAATTCAAACAAGACATAGTACCAACCCTGCTGCAACGAATTTCCTATTCCTATACTTCCATAACCTACAAAATGCTAATTTGGGACACCAAATTTCATTTGATTTTTACCAATCATTCACTACGAGTTTACTGGTACCTTCTGATCAAATGGAAAAACATCAGTACAATACAAAAGCACAAAAAAACGCAAATATATTGACTGTACGATCAGAATATTTGGTTGCAAATGTAATCCATGAAACAATAATGCAAGCCAAACAGGTATAAATGCAAACAAGAAAGCAAAACATCCAACATGTTCCCTACAACCATTACCTTCAAGCCTAATTTTACTTCGAACATATTTTTCAGGTGACAAATTACTTCCGAACAAATAAACACCAAACAAGTTGGAACAACGAACAACAATAAATAAACATGTTCTGCTGGAATGAATATTTTGAAATGCATACGTGCCTTTAGTTCTGAACGTGTTCCAAACCTGTGCAGGAACAAAGGTAATAAAGCCGCAGCGGTGACCGCAGTAGTAGACTCTTCGGTCTCCTGATCAGTCGCCGTGCGCTGTGCGGGTTCTAGTCCCGTCCCAGGAGAAATTTTTCTCTTGGCTATGGATGTTGTGATTGTCCGTAGGTGGTAGACGGTCTCTGACTGTCGAACGTGGAGGTACCACCCGGCGGATCTCGTAGGCGGAGCCGGAATGTGTGCATGTTGCATGCACACGTGTTCCCTCGCCAGAGTCCGTGTGGCGTTCCCCTTTCCCCTGTATCCCCCTATAACCCCACGGTACCCAATGGGTGTTTAGGCCTTAGGCCTTCGTGGTAGTTGGAGTATAAAAAAAAGCCAACCCGCAGCTGATTGTTTCTTTTTTCTGTTCTTTAAATAAGTATCTCTATGTGAATAAACCCATTACAGGTTCACTGTTGAAAAAACATGTTAGACATGTCCAAGTGTACGTTTTTCAAATTGCAAAATAACTGCTTCGTGTGAAATTTATCCTGCCGTGAAATAATCTAATCCAGCTCGCACTGTTGCTCGTACATAGAACATGAGCAATGCGTGGGTAGTGGTGGTGGTGAGGTACAATTCGCGCATTTCCATATTGTCGGTGAATTACTGTTGGCCGCATCTCGCTAGCGCCAGAAGCACAAAATAATCCAAAATCGCTGATGAATACAGAGCACTGGCTGTCCAGGACAGAACAAATGTGTTGCGGCGGTGCCAGTGCAAAGTGAGAAGAGAAAACTATGCTTCCAGATTGGATTGATAATGATGAAATTGTTCAATAAATTTCTTAGGTGCATTTAGAAAGTTAGAGTCTCAGTACAGCCTTTTAGCCGGTTTATTCATTGGGTATTCATACTTGAACTCAGCAGCTTACAACTTGCTGCTGGTGATTAAGTCTGCTTCACTCCACTGTACACATGAGTAAAAGGCAGCATTTTACAGCATTTCCCTTCAAGATGACAACACCGCTTAGCGCAGATCCGGCTTAGAGATAACCTCACTCTTTCGTTCGTCAATTCTCCATGCTCGAACTAAGCAGCTGTTGGCATAGCTGCTTTCCAGTGGTTTTTGGCTCCAGGAACAATACCTGAGAATACAACGAGCAGTGGAACGCTACTGAGCAACTCCGGCACGGGTATCACGTATCTTGAGAAGTGACATTATGCTGATTCTTTTTTGACATTATGCTGTTTTTTGACATTATGTAGCTTTTTCTACAAGATGTTAACTTAGCACTTAGTGATACGTGCTGCCTAAACGTCATGAGGCTTGTTATCAATCTTTGGCTCTGATGTGATGTAAAATCTGCTTCTGAGATGGCATTACTGGAGGTCTAAGCTGTAAGTTGTATGCGTTGACGATAATTACATTGGGTTCCTGTCTCAAATACACTTAATTGAGATTTAAAGCTAGAAATTAGTTACGCATCCACATTTTCTTATCCATTCTGGAAATTACATATACAAATTTGCTGAATTTCAAAAATGAGAGAGATAAGAAATAATTAAATTCGCTGTACACTGTCGAATTACAAGCCATATACATGCTAACATTAATTATACACAACGCGGGCGCAGTGATGATTTCCCGTAATTCTCCTCAGTTTTTCGTAATTTACAACTTTGAACATAACCTCTCTTCAGAAAGCAGAACATAAAAATAACCCATCGGGCACAGCCAATAGATATACTTCATTGGCAGCATATTCAGTAATGATTTCCTCATACAGCAAATAACACTGATTTTATACACATGCAGACCAATACACATAATCATCTAGAGGCGATCTTGCTATTCAACCAACTTTCTTCTCAGAGATAACAACTACAGACAAGGACCATTTGGTTTCACAAAACATATACAACCAATAATGCGTGTAGTTTACTTGAGTGATTCCTCCTTAGATGGACGTTCACAACGATCCTGGTGAGCAAACGTGGAATGACTGTTTGCGCCCTAAAAACTACCTAGTTTGCAAGATGACATCTTATAGGTTTTTATTGATGTTTTGTAGGTTTTTAACATGATACCCATGCGGGTTAGTCAAAGTAACTCAACTGGATCACTGAAAAGCACCTCTGATATTGTGCGAACGGCGAATGTGAAGCGGTCCTTCGGTGCAGCGCTTTTATCCTGATTATCAGTAGCCATAAAGTATATACGTCAGCAGCAGTTTACACATGACTGTCAGATTGGATTGTTGGTCATAAGTTGCGAACTGTCAAAGCTATCCAACATACAGGCAGCAGCGGTGGCCGCAGTAGTAGACTCTTCGGTCTCCTGATCAGTCGCCGTGCGCTGTGCGGGTTCGAGTCCCGTCCCAGGAGAAATTTTTCCCTTGGCTATGGATGTTGTGATTGTCCACCCGGCGGTTCTCGTAGACGGAGCGAGAATGTGTGCATGTTGCATGCACACGTGTTCCCTCGCCACAGTCCGTGTGGCGTCCCCCCCCCTTTCCCATGTATCCCCCTATAGCCCCACGGTACCCAATGGGTGCTTAGGCATTAGGCCTTCGTGGTAGTTGGAGTATAAAAAAAAGGTCTGTAAATTAAGTGATGAGACAATTTGTTCATTTTTTTATATTTAAATAAATTATTATTTTATACTGTTACCCTCAAAACGACTTACCTCTGAAGGAAAACTGTTTCACAAAAAAAAATCGCTAGAGACAACCAAATTAATCGAGCGAGTTCAAACTTGTACCGAACGCGGATCACATGCTGCCCTGCCTCCCATCCAAACCCGTCGCCTTCAGTGTTGTCAAATCGAACGCTGCGTTGTCAGTCACATCACTTCATTTTCAGACCTCGTACAACCGCGGCATCGCTGGATCGCTCTACTTTAGCTGACTGCTGTATAACTGATAAGCCAACTATTTCAACTATCGGAAGTCCGCTTCCTACCATCCTTTCCTCCAACGTGACAACATCGCCTGTATGCAGGATCGACTTAGGGGTAGTCACCACTTCGCTTTTCATGCTGGAACCCAGAAGCAGCTATTTGGCGGAAGACATTACGCTTCAAAATACCTGTTTTCACCGCCCTTTCCTTTAACAGGGCAACATCTCCTGAACCCACGGCCGTCTTAGTGGTACCTACCTATCTGCTCTCCATGCTGGAACCCAGCAGCAGTTACTTGGCGGTCATCAGCTATTACGGTTTGAAAAATCAATTGTCTACCTTATTTCCCGTCTACGTGGCATCAGCGCCTGACGCTGAGACCCACGTCTTCGTTTTTCATGCTAGAACACAGCAGCAGCTATTTGGCGGCCATGAGCTGTTAAAATCCGATTTTCACCAGCCTTCCCTTCAACCTGGCAACATCATGTACTCATGGCCGTCTTAGGGTTACTTAAACATCTGCGTTCCATCCTGGAACCCATCAGCAGCTACTTGGGGACCGTAAGCCTTAACGGTTCGAAAAGTCCGTTTCCTACCGCCCAACCCTTCAACGTGGCAACATCGCCTGTACGCAGGGCCGACTTAGGGGTAGCCACCCATCCAGTCCGTCCTTTCGTTCTCCACGCTGGAACCCAGCAGCAGCAGCCCGAGCAACGTTGCCGCTATTTGGCGGCCGTAAATCATGGGTTACCACATTGTAGCACGGTAAATCATGCGCGGGGCGGGGGGGCCGCCGTGAAATGAAACCCATTCGTCTCTGTCACGCCTCGACTCCTGTTCCCGTCTCTCTCCAGCACCCGCGCCCTGGCCTGATGCTCTTTTGTTCCACCGCCAGCTACGATGAGCTGTTTTTTCTCTAAGCTTTTTGGAGGCAGCATGTATAACTACTATAAATATGCAACAGCAACTTTTCGGTACAAAGATGAACCGAGTTGTGTGTGTTCCGTGGCTAAGCTGATGACCGACTATTCTTTTGTGTAATGCGAGGAACTGAATTTTTATCAGGGTAATTCATTAGCTCTTGTGGGTAGTGACGTTTTAATTCTATCCGTAAAATCTGTTTACTGGCTTTGTAAAACTGTGGCCCACCTTCCTGATACCTAAGATAGTTTAAAAAATAGGCTACTTAGCTTTTGTAGCGTTCAGTACCTGGACGATCAAGTCTAAAGTGGTTTGCTTGTTCTACAGAAGGTTGTGACAAACAAGAGACTGTCTCTGTATAAAATGGCCGATTTTGGGATTGGTAGCAGTTCCAAGAAATTACGAAAAGGAATCCAGATCTATTGAAAACATTTTTTTTTAATCATGGATTGGTTTATATCATTTTAAATGTATGTAAGTTTTGAAAATAATAATAATGTCTCCGAATAGGAAATAAAATTCTTTTTTATATCAATCCGCTCTAGTAGGGTGTTTGGAGGACGCTTAAGCACTTTTTCAGTTATTCCCAGAAGAAGAGGTCACATACAGGTACTCAAATCCAGTAACCACGCTGGCTCCCTAATATCAACTTCCAAGTAGACGAGAAGTCTTGGATCATTTCTCTCAAAATATCCACTTCATGTGCTAAAGCTCGATAACCTGCTGCCTCTTCCTCACGCAGCCCAAGATTCATTGAGACAAATGTTTACAGGGCGCCTCGTTAAAAGTTGAATGTTTGGTGGTTTGTGCGGTCACCAGATTTAAGTACCTTTCTCTGGGGATATCTGAAGGAAAAAACACTTAGACATCCTCCGCACGCCCCTTTAGAACTAAGAGAAAGGGCTATTTAAAAATTGAACGTTATACCCCACGATATGTGTGAATGTGTATTCAGAACTCCAGAAACAGTTTCCAATAGTATTGCTGTGAACGGCCGCCCTCTTGAAGACATCATCTTTTAAACGATGGAAGAGGAAGTCTGTTTCCATGGCCTTCGCGATCACCAGACTTAACTTGTATTGATTTCTATTTATGGGGACGGTTAAAGGACATCGTTCTTCAGACTCATCCTACACCCAGGAAAGATATGAAAAACCGCGTTCGTGATACCATACCAAGAGCCGAAATTGAAGCTGCAGTTTTGTCTACCCATGAGAGTCTTCAGGAATGCATACATAGATCGTGATGGTCAGCATTTAGAACATTTACGAGGACACTATAAACCTTTCTTTTTGAAATCGGTCCCTTTTAGGGATACACCTGATAAAAAGGTATTCCAAAAAATTAGTTAAGAAAATAAAATTTAAGGGATTTCCGTATAAAACCGTCTTTGGCCTAAATTTTAGGTTAGGAACAAAATATCGAGATGCGGTTTTCGGGAGCTTGTTCAGACATTATTTAGCTACTTTTTCATATAGACTATCATAGCAGTGCATTTAATTTTTGTGACAAAAAAAACATTTCTGTTGGAATGTCGAACAAAGCTCTCTAGCGACCACATGTGAAACTAACCAAACTACAAATACTATAATAATAGCTCTTTTCAACTAGCTCAAGTTTGTTAAAATCGACTCAGCGGTTTTACGGAAACCTTTGAATACCCCCACCACTTTATTTTTAGAGATACAGCAAAAACTGTCAAACAAAAAAGGTTTAGATTATCCTCGAATTTGAAGGTCAGGTACTTTTTGTTAGGTTTATATAAAAGAATTCACAGAAACATTACTATTGTAGATTCAAGATTGCAGTTACGCCCCCTAGTGGCCTTTTCAGAAACGGGATAATTCTTTCTAGGTTTTTCTCTTGGCCGTCTTAGTAATAACTTTTTACCAGATACAGTACCTCACATTCTTGGCCACCCTGTACAGAAACAGAATCTCAAGTTTCACCTCGCCCGCTGCTATTGATCTTTTTACTAGAAGTATAAAAGTAATATGAACGGAAGTCTGACATCTGAATTTGCTCAAATATAAGTAGCGGCTACTCACGCGAGTTACCGCACCAATAAATTAATCTCGTGTGCAGATGGCAGCAGCGCAGCGGCTACCACAATAAGAAAGGGCGCCGAAAGGCCGAAAGAGGGATTCCGTCCGCCATATTTATCTTATATCCAATATTTGGAGATTTATGCCGAAGCCGGACGGTCATGCAAAGGATCCTCCGGGGCCCGGAGCGGAGTGCGGACCGGAGGCCTGACGGTGCAAGAAAATTTAAGTGAAAAGAGAAGACGGATCGCCGCTGCAGTGTTCAAGATGGCGGAGGAGCAAAGGCGGGTGGCTTCGTAGAAAAAATCCAATACTTCAGAGATTAATGTACTTGTGATGTAAAATAGATGGCAGAAGCGGACCACTTGGACTATAAAACAAAGAATACGAAGCACTTCATATGCGAACGCCGTCACGTGACGTCTGTCCAACCTCAGACACTCTCGGCCAGTCTCTCAAGGTTTCATGTCTCCATCGGCGTAGTTTTTGTTATTATACTGCTTTGATTGTCACCCTGTCAATCAGCAAACCCGACGATTGTAAGTTCTTATTAACGCTTAGGCGCGTTATTTAAAGCCGCTGTCGAGGACTGTTCTCAAGCGGCGTCCCGCTTCACGACAGCGCTCAGCCTCACGTTGTGGCAAGAACACAAACGTAACTACACAAGCTTCTTTGGAAATTACTGGGTCAGCCACCATATAGCACCATCACACTAACATTTTTTTCTAAACTTAAGGAATTTCTTGGTGGAAAGCGCTTGAAAAATGAAACCTTCTGGTGACTTCTTCATATCACCTTATTGAAGCGCATTTAAGTAAATTTTCTGAAGTACGATCTGTCCACAGCCTCACACTTTTAATCTACGTGGTGCAGCATTTTTTATGTTTCTCCTCTTACCTACGGCTACCCGTTGCACTAGTGTATTATTTGTAACTTGATAGATATACGATATCCTTTGTTGTGAGCGTGTCCTATTCAGCACCGGAATAAACTATAAAGAACACGTAACATCACAACACACGCAGTCGAGGTTGTAAATTAATAGATAGATTACAAAGACATTTTATTCGTATCTCACAAGGTCAGAACAAATTGCGATTGTATAATCGTTATAATTCGAAATAAGTTTTTTTGTGTTTTATAATCACATCATCAGCAAAATGCATGGTACAAAGATTTGCCTATCTTATCAAACAAATATCGAAATACTCTCAGACTCTAGATGTATGCGCTTTTCGATATCCCGATGACATTTGGACGCAACAAAAATAGATGCAAGATTTTCTCGCTAGCACCCTAACCCTGACATTCATGCTCCTTTTGACACGTTTTTATCAAATCTTTTACCCCTTAAAATTTCCTCCTGGTATCATCTATAACTTCCACTTTAGCTGGATCTGTTCCACACATTTTTTAGGACCAATTTCACCAACATTAATATTTGACGGTCAGTTGGACTAATAGGAAAAGACCTTATCGAAATCCAATTTGACAGAAGCTATCAAAGCTCTCTGAATATCAGTGATTTCTATTGAAATGTTGAACAGTCGTGAAAAAACGGTTGCCTTATAAATAAGAGTACATTATAGATGTAACTTTATGTCTTTGTGCTTTAGAATTAGGATAACTTTCA